TTTTTTTTTTTTTTTTTTTTTTTTTTTTTTTTTTTTTTTTTTTTTTTTTTTTTTTTTACATTATCGATGATATATTACATTTTCTTTTTAATATTGTTTCATTTTGTATACACATGTTTGCGGTAGAAACAGCTGTAACGAGAGAATAAGCGAGAAAAAAAAAGAAATTCACCCTCGACAAGGACCGGAATCTACTGTATTATATTATCTACACATTGGCATTCCTCAGCTAGGCGAGCTACATTGGATTTTTTTTTCCATTTACTTCTTTATTTACGACGAGGTTGATATTACAACATCGAAACTGACAGTGTACACCCAAGTGAGGTATTTTGCATGGATGAATGTATATGCATATATATATATATATATATATATATATATATATATATATATATATATATATATATATATATATATATATATATATATATACTCGGGAGGGCAAACTTCTGTTGTTTCGGTTATTGGATTTCCGGGGCGGAACAGTGACGGCACAGACAGTGAACTATTAGAATAGGAAAAGGGAGATGTATGGGTGTATGGTCGTGCCGTGCGCTTGGCAGTGCGAAACGACAAAGTGGTTTAGCAGGCAAAACTTTTTTTTTTTTTTTTCTTTGAAATTCGACGCTAGTTTTTGCCCTGTAAAATCCATATACTTGTCGTTCGCTCTCGGTTTTGTGTACAGTAATATCAAAAAGTGAGCTCAAAATGCGTACAATAAGCTTATATAAGCGGTACGCTGGCATGTATCTTTACATGTTTTTCGTCTCGATTCCAATTTTCAAAGCTTCAGCATCGATAAGAAATGTTGTTTTTTTGATGGTCAAAGGGGATTTTCGCTTGCAAACGAAACTTCGGGGTAGATCCAAACGCGCGCAATAAAACGTAATCCGATGGGGATAAGTTTGCCATTGTAACGCTATTGCACTCGGATGGATTTGAAAAGAGAGAGAGAGAGAGGAAAAAATGATCCATCCTCGTGGGGTATAAAAATACTCACTCTTTCTCGATGAAGCGCGTGGTATCGATGACCTTCCTCGTGGCCTCGACGTAGCCCCGTTCGCCGTATGACATGAGGGTGGCCCAGCAAGTGGCGATGCTGCTACCGGCCCTGGACCCATTGACCGTGGGCGAGCCGTAAATGCCACCCGGCCAGTCCGGGGAAATGACAAACTGGTGGTGCCTGAGCTCCTTGCTCCTGTAAAGGACGACCGAGGAGCCCTTGGGCGCGTAGCCGTACTTGTGCGTGTCGGCGCTTATGCTCGTCACGCCGGGGAGCTTGAAGTCAAAGTCCGGCAGCTGGAAGCCGGCCTTGCGCATGAAGCACACGAGGAAACCGCCCAGGCACGCGTCCACGTGGACGGGCACCTTGTGGAGTAAGCCCAGACGCGAGATCGACCCTATGTCGTCCATCGTGCCGTAGGGGAAGTTGGGCGCTGAACCTACCAGCTGCATTGCATCGTTTTCATTGGAACCATGTTTATATCTTTCATGGGTTGTTTATTTATTTATTTATTTTTTTTTTTTTTTTTCGTAACTGGTGACAAACTTTTTAAAAGCTCTGTAACGTACACATTATATTGCCAAGGTATGAGATAAAAGAGCTTCTCAATAGATTTTAAGCTATAAAAAAAAAAATTTTAATGCGTAGTCATGAAAAGAAAAAAAAAATCGATAGGAAATAAATGGCTTTGTTAACATCAGGTGTAGGTGTTGCGAAATCGGAATAAAAGTTACTGCTAGCGCTGGTATCAGTAGGTGAGGAGATAATGAACATTGTGCCCCCATACCAGCTGTGTATACACTCGTCGAGTCGTGATGGAAATGAAAGTCGCGCAATAGATCTTGTAACAGTCCCGTAACGCGTCCATTGTATATTTATAAGCACGTCACGTATACATATATATATTTGATCAATGGTTGATTCTTTGTTGGGCGTTAGCGCGTAGACGCGATGACTTGTACAGGTGCACTTTTGTAATTTACCCGAACTCGACGAGCAAAATCTACAAAACCGATAATTCGACTGTACACACCGTTTTTTTTGTAAAAATAAGGCTTTTATCGCAAGAGGAACCGATTTCAATACTCGTAGACGTCGATTTCCACGATAATCCGATCTAAAATGTCATTGTAGGTAAAAAAAAAAAAAAGCAAGTATTTGGTATAAAAGCTCACCATAATGGTATTCCTGCCGATGGCCCTTCTCATGGCGTTGAGGTCGACGGTGTAGGTCTCGGGATGCACGGGCACGGTGCGGACCCTTATCTTGAAGTACTGGGCCGCCTTGTCGAAGGCCGCGTGGGCCGTGACCGGCATGACGATCTCCGGCCTTCTGATGCCCTTGGCCTCGCGCGCGTAGTCCCGACACGCTTTCACGGCCATTAAAATCGACTCCGTGCCGCCCGACGTCATCTGGGAAAGGTTTTTGGAAAAATCACGACAATTGGAAAGAAAAGTTTTTGATGCCACACCATCCCATAGAATCTAAATGGGATGCGTTGTACGTCCCGAGGGCTGGTTATCGGTTTGAAAGAAGTGAGTCGACAGAAGCGAGCTTTAACTCGAGCTTTGGGCGAAAACATAAATTAGGTCAAAATTTACGAGCGATTTGAGTTTTGGCCGAAAACGCGATAGTTTCATCTATATACCATTTGCTGCAGAGTTCAATTTTCGTTTAATATTAACTTTCCAACAAGTTTCGCACGCATGTAACTCTTGATCGAATTAAACATTTTTTTACCATGTCAGAGTTGAAAATTGGAGCTCGTTTTAACAAATTTTGCAACGCAAAAACATTTACCTCCCTCCATTTCTCCATAAATTTCGACAACTCATGTATTTGTCTGAAATTGCTTCTGTTCTTCCTCTGAAAAATGTCTCTTACCATTTCTGTTTTTCTTGTATCTAACGAGCAATTACATTGGCGTCCGAAAACAACGCGTGTATTTTCTAGTCTCGGGTCAACGACACTTATATACGTTGTTTTTCGAGACGCGAATTAAACGGTGGCGGTCGTCTCCAGGGCCCCAGACTCTCTATTGCACTTTTTTGTTCCCTCCCTAACCGGCTTTTTTTCTCTTTTCCATGCGTGTTAAACTCCTCGTTGCTACCCCATTCTTCCCCTCCCACCCGATCCATTTCGTTTCACTCGAAGACGCTCCGTCGCGGATAATATTTCTGTTTGCACGCACGAGAACAGCATAAGGGGGTAGATTCTACTTTTGTAAGTCGGCTGTGGCGGGGAGCAGTAAAGTGCCCCAACAATGCCTCCCGCCCTCATAAAGACGGAAATTTTATTCCACCAAGAAAATCCCCTTGCGGTGCCGAGCAGGAAAGGGTCCTCCTATTCCTGGCGGTAAATTCTCTTTGAGCGCACTGTTGCAAGTGGGAGTCAAAGCTCGGAGCAAACACGAGCCAAAGAAAAAAAAAAAAAAAGGGACCACGAGAAGCAGACTTACCGTACCGCAGCAGTCGTCGTCGCCGTTGAAGAGCTTGCAAGCGATCCGGACGACCTCGGCCTCGAGCTTGCACACGCCGGGGAAGACGTCCGCGTGCAGGGGGTTCGTGGCCGAGGTGAGCCTAAACACCTCCGCCATGACGTCGTCCTGCTTTGGGTCCGAGCTCTTGTACACGCAGCCGGATACCCGGCCGGTCTTCCAGTTGTAGTCGCCTGAAGGGAATATTCGGTAGCGCTCGATTGCTTTTGTATTTTTTTTTTTTATACCGAGGCGCGATTATCTGCGCAAAGAAAAGCGCCCGCAGCCCGCGAAGGATGAGCGATTGTTCATCATCAACCCTTTGAATATTTCATCGAGCTTGATGTGTGTGTACAGGAATAATTAAAAAAAGAAAAAAAAGGAGACGTCTTTCGTTTCGCGATGAGGTGGAAAAAAGGGGGGTTTGATTGAATTTGCATTATTAGCAGCCTCGTCGAGCGTGTATATACATATACATACTTTGTACTGTATAGAGACTCGGTGCAGCTGAAATATTTGCATAAGCGGACTAAGCACGCCCGCGCTGCTCATTATAGGGGCTCGGCCTCCTTTTGCGCTGCTTATACAGTGTATACATCTTATATATCTTTAGCTTCGCCCCACATCTTATTAATGAAAGTAGGATTTTTTTTTTCTCTTCTACGAAAAATCAATCGTGCTGGGTCAATCAATTATTTTGGCGAAAAATTTAAAAAGCTACATGTCCAACATACAGGTACGTTATAAAGACAATGTGTAAAACGCATGTGGAGCAAAGACCGAGAAAGAAGGAGAGACGTTATTAACAAGGTGGATGCTACCTGCAGAGATGAGGAAAAAACAAAAGAAAACTCACTGGAATGAACGCAGCGCTCGATGAGCGCGAGGATGTCCTCGTGAGCCATGCCCTCGGCCGGTAGGCTAGTCACGTGAGGCATGCCCTCGGTCATTTTCTTCATTTGGTTCTCGAAGCCTTCGTCCAGCCTCCTCGTCTCGTGTTCGATTTTCCGGCGCACCGCCGGCACCAGCCGAGCTATGCGCATCGCCGTTTTCTTCACCCGCGAGGGTATACCTGCGCCCACCACCCCAATTCATTGAATATCTCTGTATCGTTACATTGTTTCTTTTTTCTTTTTTTTTCCTTTTCCGAAATGAAAGTCCTATATTTTTTCTTTCTTTTCCCTTTTATAAAAAAAAAATATGTTGGTAATTACGAGTTTCAGGAAACAGGTATTCGAGGAAGGGGTGGCTGAATTCTGGGTCGTCGGGAGCATACACCAAAGTCAATATAGACACAGGGTAAGTACTCTCGTGTCGCGTATACCTCAGGCCGACTGTACAACGTGTACGCACAGACAGAAAGTAATTACTGTCTTTCACGTTTAACGAGAATATAATTTTCTTCTGCAGAGGCTGTGGATGGATCATATTTCGGCTGCGGACGAAACGAAACCTCGACCCACCGTTGTTGGGCTGTGAGATTAATTTGTTTCCAGCCTGGAGAAATGGTTTTTGCCAATTTTCACTCTTGGACGGTAATGAGCAAAGGAGGAGGAGGAGGAGGAGGAACGTGTCCGGGGCGCAACCACGCGTGCAGCATCCGTCGGCCAACTATTTGCCTCAATTAAACTTGAAGAATTTCTTCCTCCCTCCCTTAGTCTAAACGTCCTTCGGCTGAAAGGAATGGCGTGTTTGCACTTACATTTCACGGAGCAGCTCGCGCGGTCGGATTATTAAAGTATAAGTCGATGGATGTCGATTGAAATTGTACGAGGGCGAAATTGAGCGTCTTGGGAATTTTTGCAATTTCATCGCGTAGAAGATCATTGTTGGTAGTACTGGTTCGGGAGCAAAAAATAAAGTATCGGACGCCGAGAGTACCGATAAGCCGATGTTTCTGTGAAATGAAAATAACGAACGTGCTCACGGTTTTCCAGAGTTGCGAAACAACAAAAATCATGGTTCCACTGCTCGAGTGAAAATAATACATTGTTACGGTGCATTGGCGAAACGTCACCGTTCGCACGTTATTGGTCAGAGTGGAGTTCAAAGTTACCCTCTTCGTCGTCGAAGATAAAATTATAGAGCCAAACGGTCGCCAGGACGGTGGCCGACGTCGTCGCGACGATTTGCCACGGCTCCTTTCCTCTGAACGCCTCGTTAATGACACCCTTGGCCGAAGACCCGATGGAACTCACGGCGTCCGCCATACTGCGATCTCACGATCCTGTAAAAGACAATTTTTTTTTTTCATTCACACAAAAAATCTCTTTGAAAAAACTCGCACGCCCTTGAATACACATAGATTATACGCGTGGATGGCTTGATGAATCGTTACATTAGCTTGGGGGACAAAAAGTTGGGCAAGCAACCGCTAAAGCTCGTAAGGGACGTTTTTATCGCGCCGTCCCCATCAGGATTACTTATTGTAACTTGCAAGGCTGACTATGTGTTGTTGAGGGGGAAAAAAGCACATCACACACGTAAATACGAGTCGTAAAAAAAAGTAAGTCAATGTCCTTGTATCATCCCGAGAAAGAGACAAAATGCAATTCGATCTTCACTCGTGGTGTAAGTAAAAGAAAAACGAACTTTTTTTTTTTCTTCTTCTTAAATAAAGTTGCGAGTGACTGCGGACAGTAGCCCTGGGGAAAAAGATTCGGCAGAATCGCTTCTATCGCGCACGAAAGACCCACCGAAACCACTGACCACTTCTATTACTTATCTTTTACGGCTCGATCTCGCGCACATAACGTTTCAATTCCCGAGTGTGGCGGCTATACGTACTGTACGCAGTACAGAAAAGATTTCGAGATTCGTGATCTTTTTTCTTTCTTTTTTGCTCTTGTTTTCATACTACAAGGAAAGATCTTGTTTTTTTTTTTTCTTTGTTCAATTTTAGGGTAGACGTCGAAGTACGACAGAAACACTGTGTATCTACACAGAAGAAGAAGAAGAGAATGATTAGATCAATATTTTTGAGTACATGCACTGTACATGTAGGTATACACACGTACCCGCAAGCAGTGCATGGATGATGAATCTTAATAAATTAATAACGAAACGATCGACTTGGTTGTTTTCATCATCAATCAAACGTTTGTTTCATAGTCGTCGATCAAGTAGGGAAACGTTTCAATGATCTCGTGTTCTTCCGCTCGAGCACCGGGGTATATTGTATACCCTTTTCTTCGTCGACATTGAACTTATGCATTGGTGCGTTAAAAGATGGAGGAAGTAATCAATTTTTTCGCTGGAATTTTTATAGTTGTATAACAAAACAATATCAACTCAGGACTTAATTTCGTATAATTTTAACGAGTCACTCTACACGCCTACTTGATTTTTTCGAGTGCAGTTATACAAATAATTACAATGTATGTAGGAGAAGAAGAGGACTCGTCGCAATACGAACATCAATCAAGTGTCTGCATTCGAAAACATTTGAAATGGTTCAATAAAAACCTCGTCGAAACCGATTGCAGCTTTTATACGTGCCTGTTTAAATACGCACACATTTTTTTTCTCCACACGCCACGCGTTTGTTGGCTCAGTCGAGAAGAATAACAAACACGATTTCGTCTCATAACACGCTTCTTTTATCTCTTTTTCGGCGTCGCAACTCGGTCGCACATACTCTATAGATACCAATTAATATGTGGCATCGCATTCATATCCTCTCGATAACTTTACGTTTCGTGTATAATGGTTTTCGAGGAATACGAATTTTTCATTCGAAAAAAATGCGATCGGCGGTGAAATCGTTTCATGTTTGTTTTGTCTGTTCGGAAAGATGATCCGTTGTGCTATTATAGGAATGTGGGCGTTTTACTTTTCCAATATATGTACGCGTAACTAATTATACTAAAAATTGTATCTGTCGTATGGTTCAGAAAAAAGAAAAATGTGTTGTCTGTAATATCGTAAACGTATGATGAAGAAAAATTTTAGCGAAATATAACGCATACAAAAACTATGTTGCGAATGATTTCTCGGAGAATGTTCCACGTGTCAGAATAGAAATTGCCTTTACGGAAATGTAATTGCACAATTGCATTAATAAGCAAGAAGATATGCAATGCTAGAGTAATGAGCAGACAAATAATGAGCAGTTTTTAATTTTATCAGTGGTTACTGTCAAGCATTAATTAAATTATTTATATGAGGTTGATTTACGCATTCTTTGATCATTAAAGTGTGTCAAATATCTGATTATCTCTTGTGATTATTTGCGCCCCAAGTTCCCTTAATTATTATTTCGAGATACTTGTCATGCTTATATATCTCATTACTGTTTTATTTTAATTGTCTGAAGGTACATGATTGAGTTCCAAACAATTGAAATATTACGAGCTACATTATTATAGTGAAAATTAATAGTTGTATAGACAAGACAAGGAATGTGCTGTATAGAAAAGCAAAGGAAAAGAACGTCTTTTTCTTTTTAGGTCACCTTGTAAAAAATGTTGATGGTCTATGATAGCACCTGCATTAACAGTCATCTAAATAAAAAATATGTTATAAATTATCAATTTTTTATTTGAAAAATTAAAAGAAGGTATAATAATGAGTTTTAAAGAAACAACTCAATCACAAAAATAATTCCATTATTTTTTTTTTTCAATTTCAGAATACATACCTTACGTATACCTATAGATATTAAATAATTGCCTTTAATGAAAAGCCGGTGCCTAACCTAAGCTAAGCATAAAAGCTATACGCTCTACACTCATTCACTCTCATTGATAATGGAGATATACTATGTCACAGCAACAAGTGATTCACAGAAAAAGGATGAAAAAAAGGTAAAGGAGTCATTTTACCTTGACAGTATTTCTTTGTCACGATATAAGTATACTGACCTCTTTGATTTAAAAAATGAATGCCCTTGGTACTACAAAAATGCAAAAGTTACATTTAAATTTCAAAACACAAGACTAAAATTCACCCAAAACCGTATTTTTGTTGAACGGTCCAGCCACTGGCGTGTGCAACAACAAATTAACACCACATTACAGTTAAATTATATTATCAATCATTTTGATCGGTATCACTTTAAAATCGGTTGCTGAATTCTCACGCCTTGCATCATAACAACCACGGACATCATACATCCATAGGTGTTTATATAGGATTTCTTATCAAGAACATAATTCGAGGTGACATACCGAAACGATAAGTATTAAGTACCAAATGACGGCTTTGATAAAAAAAACAAGATGTTATTGCTCATGAGTTTCAGCTTTGACGTAGAAACACGAACATAAATATACGATCAATGAATCGACAAAAAAAATTGACATGGCATCTACAGCCATTGCACAATACGCGGAGGGAAAATATACCTACTTACACCTATAGAGCTTTTCATTGAACAAAGGAACTAAGTAAACTCACCTTACGATTAAATAAATAAAAAGTTTCCTTTCCCGTCACTATCATCAACGGCAACTATGGTGTCGGATAAATACCTATGTATGCACTATCAGAACAATTGAATGCCAAAGTGCCAACTAGACCCCGAGAAGATAAACGGTGCTCCCACGCACTCTGCAACGTACTTATATTTACACGCAATAATTTAAAATAACAATTTAAACGTCGTCGAAAATCTGATGACTACTTTACTTGTACAACGAAAATAATTGATTAAACGATTTACGAGCTTGGGCACAACACAAGCGCTAGCTGGCTCACATACAACGGCAAAGTATAACCGACTCCAATGTCTTACACTTATCACCTTCCTTTCCTGTCTTAAAAAATTAACTATTTATCACAGATACACTTTCTATGTTTATGGCACACACTAATCTCAAAGCAGGACACAGTTATTTTTTTTATCATCTTGCTCGAACGCGAGGGAGAGAACAGAGCTGACTAAAAAGACATGCAGCGCCACCTGTTAAAAATCAACAATGATATATGATACCGACTACTGATAACTGACCACTTAAAATTTTTGTCAATGCATGCAACTTATCGTTATACAAATGAATATAATCATATATCATATAAAAATAAATACTTGCTATATGTATGTATAAATACATAGGTGATGTAAAACCCACCGAGTCGGATATTTATTTTTTATCAGAAAGTATAAACATGAAGGAGGTCGATGTTTAGATAGAAGATAAATTACAAACTTGCCGCAAGTAGCACAAATACCGTTAAATTTTTATTTTGTACTAACAACATTAATTGCGGCTGGTTTATAATTGATTATATGACACTACTGTAATAAGTAGTAATAATTTTTTTGAACAGCGCCATCTAGCGTTGCGGATTTTTGAACTAAAAAGTGGCCCTAAACTTTTGAAGCAGAGCTTTAGCGCTTAGAGCCACTTAACTTATTATAAACCAGCCGCAACTTATGTAATAGCTATAACATAAAAAAATAATTATACATTTGTTTTTGGCGGCAAGTTAACAATTTATTTTATACCAAAAATTTATCTTCAAAAGTATAAATACATAAGAGGTCAAATTTTTGGTAAAAAATAGATTGTTAACTTGCCGCCAAAAACACATGTATAATTATTTTTTTATTTTATAGCTACAAAATGAGTTGCGGCTGGTTTATAATAAGCTAAGTGTCTCTAAGTGCTAAAGCTCTCCTTCAGAATTCTAGGGCCACTTTTTAGTTCAGAAATTAGCAACGCTAGGTGGCGCTGATCTACTTTGCGTTTTTTTCATTTACTGTGTTACTGCATTTGTACATACCCTATAGGGTGTACAGTATATATACCTACAGGACACTCGTGAAATCCTTAATCCTGATGTATAATAAATGAGGCACAATGTTGACTTAACCAAGGAAACGAAGTGTATACCGGAATAGTAGTTTTTATAGTGAATTGTAAAGTATTCGATTACGTTGTAATCGAAAGATAACTAAAATTGAAGTCATGGGGCAACCTGAACTAGAGAAAATTAGTAAGGTCACGGGCGAGCATCCCACTGGCAACGAGAATATGGATATCTCCGACTTTTTCCGGCAACATATCCTAGCCGAAATCGTCATCCTGACGTGGATTTTTTTCTTGTGGGAATTTTATCTCTCCTACCGACAGGTATTAATTCCGTAACTGCTTTACACGTGGCTTGTTAAAACTGTGTAATTTCTACTTTTTTGCGATACCAAAATGCAAATTTGCAAAATCTTATGAAAGTAAGGTTAGGTTTTTCATATATTCCCTAATCTTTACCTTTAATTAAAAGAAAACAAAATAAAGATAGAATGAAATGTACTTAGTCTCCATAAATCAAAGCTCTACAAACTAGTACATGTCAGTTTATATAAATAATTATAATGAGAATACTTGTAAAGTTTTTGTTGATTATTTAATTTTCAGCGAAGGTTGATGAAAAGGTTGGTCCAAAGACCCAGCATTTTAGATAATTTGATATCAGATGAAGAGTATCAAAAATCACGGACATATGGACTGGACAAGAACACATTTGGGATCATTGAAGATCTGTACTCCAACATTATTTATACGGTGAATTTTTCTTTTATCTTATTTCTATTAGGTTATTTTTGAACCGCGCATTGACGCATTGTAAATAAAAAAAATATCAAAGTAAACATAACAGAACATAAAGTTGACTATCGAGACAAATTCCTTTGTTTGAACAGATTTTCAAGATAAGCTGGGGTGTTTATATATGCTGGAACTATGGTGCTGATTTAATTGAATTAATTGGTCTGAATCGAAACAGCGAAATTTATGTAACAGCTGGCTATCTAGTCATTACAACAATTTTTTCGACTGTAGTTGGCCTACCTTGTACTATTTACAACACCTTTGTATTGGAACAAAAACATGAATTTAATCAACAAACGCCACTGTTTTTTATTAGGGACCAAATCACCAAATTCCTTGTGGGACTTGTAAGGCCTATTTAAACTTTAATAACAGAAACGATCGTTCAAAATTTTGTAAATGAAAGCAATGTATTTTAATTTTATTTTTATAGGTAATCACTGTGCCATTAACATGTGGTATTGTTTGGATTGTTAAAAATGGTGGTGATTTCTTTTACATCTACGTATGGCTTTTCTGCGTTGTTATGTCACTTGTTCTTATGATGATCTATCCCGAATTTATTGCTCCTTTGTTCGACAAATACACACCACTGCCCGAGGGTAATCTAAAAGTTGAAATTGAAAAGTTGGCTGCAAGTCTTGGATTTCCTTTGTACAAGCTCTACATTGTCGAAGGCTCACGACGATCGACTCACAGCAACGCTTACCTCTATGGTTTTTATAAAAACAAGAGAATTGTACTATTTGATACTCTTGTTGCCGAGTACCAAAGAAAGAAGCTAGAAGAAGAGGAGAAAGCGGAGAACGAAAAAGCTAGTAATGAAAAGTAAGATTTTTCTAAACCCTAGTTAAAACGACTCATGTGCTAAGATTAAAAATAGTTTAACACATATCATTGTATCTTTTTAGCCCTAGTGAGGATATCAAAGAAGACACAAAAGTGATCAAAGAAAAAAAAATCAAAGGTTGTGAAACTGACGAGATCATTGCTATTCTGGGACATGAACTCGGACATTGGCATTACAGTCACGCTATCATAGGGTTCATCTTTGCTCAGGTAAAATTATCTTGACTAACTTGATCCGTAACTTTATTCCTAATGAGTTTTTACAGCGACAAGTGATAAAAAATTGGAGCAATGTAATTTTCAATATTTTGTTTTTTTGAACGCCTCTGTATTTTTTAAAGTTGTTTTTATCTATGAAAGCCTCAATCGTTTTTTGCATAGCTCTTCTTTTATAAGCTTATTTTAATTATTTTTTAATCCATTAAAGTGTAATTTAAAAAGTTACCTTTTTTGTTTTCAGATTGCTCTATTTGTCAACTTTATATTATTCAGCTTCCTAATGGATTACACACCGCTTTACGAGGCTTTTGGCTTTACTAACAGCAAACCAGTTATCGTGGGACTTACAGTGGTTGTAACATATGTTCTTGCTCCATTGAACTCGGTAAGTCATTTGCATAATAAGCATTATCTTTTTTTTTTTTTTTTTTTATGAAAACTGCAATTTCCCGTTCCACAAGATTAGATAGGAAATACGATATGAATATCTAATCAGTGACATTAGAAAGGAAAACTTGTACACTGAGATACTTCATTTTCAGTTTAATACCAAAAACATTTTTCTTTCACTCTTTAACCTATAAGTGATAGAAAACCTTCTTTAATTAATTATAAATACACGTAAAATAATTTTCAAAAAATACCGTCCTTAGCTGATTTGACTATTGATATCTATAAGCTTTCATTTAAATCAACACAAAAGAGAGAAAGAGAGAGAAGAATTCGAGTGGGAGTGGTTGGTGAAACGCGCGAGTGGGCAGTTCTGCATTGCAAGAAGTGGCAAAAAATACGATGTCTAGTATTACGATAATTATTGTCCTGAAAAATATTGAGAGGTTTGCTGTCCAGTAAAAAAAAACGTGTTTTTCAAAGTTTCATATTGTAACTTTACGTTCATTTTAATTTTTATTGTGCAACATAGGTATCCATAAATGCTCAATATTAAAGAACATGAAAAATAACGAAAAATAAGTTTTTTCAAGGGAAACAATAAGTATGTCATTATGTCAGGTGTAAAACCTCGATATTTTCATACATGGTTACTTTAATAATAAATTCAAAGTTTATTCGAGGCCAGAGAAAATCCAGTCTCAATTTTTATCCTTTTGTTTATAATTAAAAAAAAAGACAATAGCTATATCTCTGATCAATCGATACAGAAATTGATTTGCTGTTAGGCCCAAATTTTTTATGAGGAAACAAAAATCTAAAACAAAAATGGTAAACGCGTTTGGTTATAGCTGCTGGGCTGGCTAATGACGATGGTGTCACGGAGGAACGAGTTCCAGGCCGACGCGTTCGCCCGGCGCCTCGGCTACACGGACGCCCTCGGACGCGCCCTCGTCAAGCTCTTCAAGGACAATTCGAGCTATCCCCTCTACGACTGGCTCTACAGCAATTGGCACAACAGCCATCCGCCTCTGCTCGAGAGACTCGATGCCCTCAAGAAGGACGACTAAATGCGAAAGAGGAGATGACGATGACGAGGAGGAGGAGGAGGAGGAGGAGGAGAAAAAAAGTGGAACACGAGCTCTCGCACCGAGAAAGCGTAAGCTGCGCTCGTGCGACTCCCACGTGACGCGTTTGGCTTTTTTTCGTTGAAGGCCTGTCATCTCTGTGTATATAACGTGTTTATGTAAGAGTGAGGGTGTGCGTGTATACATGTATCTCCGCGTGGAGTACTAGAGGAGGAGGAGGAGGAGGTGAACGAAAACATGTGAATGGATGCGCGTGGAGGTATAATACTTATGAGCCAAGGAAACTTTCGCGGCTCCGCGTGGGTGTGCATGCTTGTATTTGGATTTTAAAGGTTTTTCATTTTTATTGAAACACGTCAAAATTGTGCATCCGTGTAAGTATGTGTTCCACGTCGTACGTTCGACGTTATATCATATTGAGGCTTTTCTCTTGGCGTATACCTGCGAATCGTAGTGTATGCATGCGACTCTCCTAGGATTTTTGTTTTTAAGTTGAGCGATGTAACATTGTTTCATTGACGTTGCAACGACTTTCATGAGTTAAAAATAGTTTCTGGTATTTTCAAACGGGCTATTTATCAGAAATTTTGGCATTTATTTTTTTTTCTAATGTTTTTATGAAACTACCTTGTTTTGTTTGAGCGATTTCTAATGAATCAATAAATAGTCCTCGAAAAGAAATGTAACACAGACTTAGGTTCTGTTGGTAAAGTCATTGGACTTGTAGACTTCATAATGAAGGATCCAACGAATGAATTTAAATCTATGCTTTTACACAAAGAATCGTTTGCTCGTAGCTTTTTCGCGCACTACATAAGCGTATCACTTACTCAACTCTAACTTTAGTTCCAGCAATTACCAACAATCAATGTATTTGTAACGAAAAAACAATCGTCTCTTACGATTAAAATTTCTTGATATCCAAAATTTCCCTCGTGTAAGTTTGTCTTGGATCTCCACTTTCCCCGCTATATGGTGTAGTCACGAATTCGGGGAAAACGATGCATCAGCCTGTCTCTTGCAGCAGCATGAGCGATAACGAAATAATTTTCCTGTCCAAACATTTGCTCGCTGGCGCGCGCGAGCGCTTAGAAATATATACACCGCTCGCGCGCGACAAAAAGACATCAAAGATATCCGACGACCGTATACGCACGTCCTCTCCCTCTTCTCCGATTCTCTGCTCCTTTTTTTACCCTTCGTAGTACACGCGGGTATAGGTATACGGACATGTGCAAACAATAAAAAGTACTGCTTAATTTTGTCTCTCGCTTGTGTGCCCGTACTCATGTACCGCATAGTGGATGAGCGGAAAAGAGAGGATGAAGACCCAGCAAGGGAAATAGAAGTCAAATGCACACATAATGGTCCTCTGTGATTCTATAATGGTACACACTGCCGCAACACCGTATGGGTCCTCGCTTCCAAGAGAGATGATTTAGTTTGGTATGCGTGTAAATACGTGTGTACGGGGTCGTAAACGAAAGAGAGGCGAGAGACCTGCAAAAGAAAACAAATGATGCGAGAGAAAGAGAGGCTCATCGTTGGTTGCGAAAAAAGGAGAAAAACGAGGCCTACGTGGGTATATGGGTGCCCAAATCCTACGGCGTATTATGGCGAGGGAGAAAACGAGACGCTTCGGAATGCCCATGGCCTGCCTCACTGGTGCACTTGAAAGGAGCGTATTAGGGACTCCTCCTTGGCTCTTATTCGCCATCAGATGTAAGTAATGGGGGTTTCAAAGTATTTCAATTTCGTCGATGTTTTTCAGCTGTACATTACATTAAATGGTCAATTTTTTTTTTCATCTCATCTTATAGCTCTGCGATAAATTTCAGAGATCAAAAAATTATTTTCGCCACCACCTAAATCGATACATAAGATCAAAGTAAGTATACCACAGAGAGAGCATGCAGCAACAAGCTGTACTACCTATTATACTTACCAACCAACATCGCGTAAGACTCTATTAATAAATCCCAATACTTTCTTTGAGTTTCCGTGAAAAACTATAAATAAGTATTATAAGTGTACACGCACACGTACGCGAGTGCACAAAGTTCAATTAGCATTGTATAACGAGAGACCGCGCGTACGTAGGTATTACGGACTGCATGCACGCGATGCGTAACTCTTGAATTCGCGGCGCAGGTAGTTATAGGTACACACCGCAAGTAACCGATCTATGTGGAGATCGGTTGCATAAGAGAGCGCGTACTCATGTATATATATATATGTACCCATAATTGTGTTGTACTTCTCCGTGCGTGTTTCTCTTTCAGAATCGGCGGAGCAAACAGAGTAAAAAAAAAAAAAAAAAAAAGTGAGGAGAAGCGTAAAGAACAGCGTCGAGAGGTGCGCGCGGCCAAAAGCATCCAAAGAATAAGACTAAGAGGAGGAGGAAGAGACGCGCGCGCTCGCGTGCAAAACACTCTCTCGCCTCTCCATTGCATCGGCCAACGAACTGCACTTGCACACTTTGGTACATTGTACATGTATGACATACATATAGTATATATTTACATCTGGGTACCCACATCACCTATGCATCATCACGGGGGAGGCAACCACGTACAGGCCCCCCTAGAGCCCTCTCTCTCTCTCTCTCTCGCTTTTCTCAGCTAAAAAGAGAGCAACGAGGCATCGGTATAGGCTAGCAGCATCAGCATCGTGGACCATCCGAGCGTGCAGCTAGAGACGCCTCTCTCACGGAGATCTTCTCTCGGGTATGGACCACATACCTATATACATTCGTACATTCAGTAGGAGAGCCCGTTGGTCGTCACGCACTGCACCGCGGGGCGACAACGCGCCAAAAGTAGTGGGAGTGAAAGAGCGCGGAGGTGTGCTGCTCTCGAAGCTCGGCAGCGGCACATAGTCTCTCGAGAGCGTTCCGGCAATCATGCCAGCGGCAGAGCACCGCGCAGCTATTTCGCTACCCTCGATCGGCCGATCCGATCGATCGGCGCTACAAACCCGGGAAATCGTTGATGATTTCGCCAAACTCCATCGTACATTGAAACCATAGGGTTTCGAGCTTGCAAAAATTTCAACTATGAAGCGATGAAACATTAAAATTAAAATAATACCCGTTGTCTCGACACCTGTGCGTTCGCCGAGTTCGCGGTGTGTGTGTGTACACGTACCACAAGTTTGCGACCGATCCAGCGGCAACGAGGGGGGGGGGGAGGAAGGAGATCATAATTGAGTGCACATACGCGAGTCCAGTGAAAGAGAGCGAGTCGTTGGGCCGAGAGATAAAGTGCCCGCGCGCTCGGAGAAGTCGCGACCAAAGAAGGCGAGAGCGCCAATAAGTGCCGCTCGCCTGGAGGAACTCGAGTGTGTGAGGTGTGTAGGTATAGGATACACGGGGCAAGATGACGACGACCATGGCAACGTCGAGCAGAACTCGGCTATTCAGCGACGCCGAGACAGGTATACAAGATCGGGATATGATGAGCGCTGGTGCAATGTGTGCTGCAGGTATCGTCGCTTTGGATGCTGCTGTTGCGGTTTTCGTGAGCATACGTGTAGTGCAGGCCTTTTTTTTAACTTTGATTTTCTGGGGATTTTAGCGGTGATCGGTATCAACCGATTTTCGGATCGTTTCATTGAATTTAGGGTTTTGTGGATTTTATTGTTTTCAATCTGAATACTTTTTTTTTTTTCAAGTAACAGCTAGATGATTACCTTTGGAAAATGATGGATAAATAATTCATACGGGCCGCATCGATGTGGGAGCTTGTGCTGTTAAATTGTATAATGATACACTGGGGGCAGGATTTCTGTCATGAAATACGAAAATTTCCAGCGTATTAAGAATTATGCACCTCGGGCTATTTATTACCTTCCTCTCGGCTTACAAAGAGAAAAAATACAAAAGCGTGATATCACGTATATGTATGCGTATAAACATGTCCAGTTGATGCAATTCGCCTTCATTGCTACGGCGTTGCAAAATCAAAGTTGCAGTATATACACCTCGTCTTATTCTCGTTTTTCTCTTGCGAACGTCAGATTTCTAGATCTCAAGATTGGCTTGACAAATCCGATGGTATGGTATACCTGCCGTGTACACCCACTACAAAATGTTGCGGCAAGCATAATCAATATTTAATGTGTGCCACCGAGGCCACTTGATGAACCACATAATATAAAACGACATTTGTTTTGTTAATGTTTTTTCTTTCAACGACGTTAACGGTTGTGCTTGAATTTTACGTGGTTCATTCATATAACGCTACTAATTATTTTTCACGTATGTTTTATTAATAGCTTTACGCTTATACGACTACTCGAGATGTCACATTGGGAAAGTTTATTCTCAGAATCGAATTAAGTACCTAATACCTCATTAATATTAACTAGTCGAGTGAGACACATGTTTTTTTTTTTTTTTTTTTTTTTTTTTTTTTTTTTTCCCACCTCAAAGTTTTTCTCTCCTCGTTTTTACCGATTCGCAGAGACGCGAGAACATCGTACGCGTTTAACGACTTTGCTTTCCGTTTTCCCCAACAAACGATCATATGAAAGTGGAGACTTTGTGCGAAGCTTGTGCTTTTAATTCGTTACGCTTACACAACGAGTGTAACGCACGTGTATAATTATTACGTGTGCAGTTGATTTCATAAGTAGCGCGGCGATTCGATACCACCTCATCCATTTGCCAGGGAAAACCATCGCCGCTATATTACGCTCGTCCCTTATCTACTCTTGGGAATCCTAAATGCAATTGTCAGTCGCTAGCGTGAAAAATTGCCGTAATTACCCGTCTGGCGTTAAATTATGCGCGATAAATAAATAAATCTTTACTGAGACGCACACCCATCTCTCTAATTACCTAACGAAGGAAAAAGAAAACAACGATTGCCTTTAACTGCAGACAAAGACCCGAGAGACGTCGACGAACACGCGAGCGGCGGCTCTGAGCGCGCGCGGTGCCGAAACCGTGTCCATAAGACCGGAAACGGGGGCGCGGCCCCAGTCCAGGGGTACCCAGTGCTTCGGCGCGAGTCTCCTCTCGGCGGCCAAACAACCGAGCCCGGCCGTCTCGACAAAGTCGACCCAGTCGGAGCCCCAAAAGCCCGTGGTCCTCTGGACCAAGTCGACGCAGTGCGCCCCGGAGACGAAGCCCAAGCTCGTGGCCAAGGGAACCCAGTCCGTCGCCGAAGTCGTGCCTGTCACCCCTACGAGCGCCAAGGCTGTACAGTGCAGTGTCAAGACCAGGGACAGGGGCACGAGGATCGACGACGACGGGACTATTAGGGAGCCCCTGTCTGCCGTCGTTTGCCGGAACAAGGAGGTCCAGACTTCGTACAGCCAACTTTGGTGAGTTTTTCTTCTACGTTTTTTTTTTTTTTTTTTTCCAATTTTACGTCGCATTTGATGTAACCGATCATACAAGTGCAGTTATTTAACATTGATACATCGCGTATCGTATAAATTATAGAGCCACGCGCCGAAATCGTGCGGTACTTTGCGAGTAAAGAGAAAGAAAGGCTCATTGTATACGAGCATAATTATTTATTTTCTCTCAACCACCCGAGGTTTACGTGAAAGTCAAGTAGACGCGCATACACGTACAGTATATACACACACGGGGTTTCTCACGGCTAATGAGCTATAGACGATGCAGCGCACTTGTACACCTTACAATCTCTTGGTTACATCGAGCGTATATTATACATTATAACTGTGAAAGTGTACCTATATATATGTATATACGCCCCGACTTTTTTGAGGTATAATACACGACTCGTGGGATGCGTGGTTTTTTTTCTTTCTATCCGGCGTGATTTTTTGATAACCAAGAGTCTTGGTTGGGCAATAACATTTGGATGAATACTTTGGCAACATCTGCACAGTGATTTGGAGTATGAAAAAAAAAAAAAAAAAATAATGAAACACGACCTAAGGCACACCTTTAGAGCGTGACTCACATAAAACAGGTGCCGAAGCAACGCAGAACAAAAAGGGTGTATAGGAAGACGGGAGGGGGGGGGGAGGTTTAAGTATACACCCCGAGCTACCGTGCGACTCCACGGCGATATCAATCGAGAGTTGGCGATCACGCGACCCTCCAATAACATAATACATGTGACTATACCCTGGTACACGTGAAACGACGCGCTTCGCGAAACCGCAAGGTGACAGCAAAAAATAAAATAATCCCACGTAACGCAGGTCGCCAAAGTTGCGGCTGAGCAAGTCCGTGAGCGCGCAACCGAGCACGGCGCACGCGAGCACCGAGACGACGGACGAGTCGTTGAGTCTGCGTGTCCTGCGCCACCAGGAGCTCGCGCCACCCAAGAGGTCGATCGCCGTGGGTGTGAGCCCGCGGGAGTTGTCGAGCAGCGTGAGCCGCGCCACCGAGACGCCTCCTGCCCCGGTACACAGGGATTTCGGCACTTCGCCGCGGCGCAAGGTCCTCGTCGACGTGTCGGTCGGGCCGTCCCTGCCCGGGGTCTTCTCCCCCTCGAGTACCAACTACTGCGACGAGTGCAAGCAGATCGGCAGGAATTTGACCGACAAGAGCGGCGCCAAGACCGCGAGGTCCATACCCACGAGGATACCGGTCATGAGCGCCGAGGCCAAGGCCGAGATGAGGAGGGCCAAGCTCGTCAGGCAGGACACCTGGACGGGCAGCTTGGACCAACTGGGCGACGAGTGAGTTGTTTTCTTTGGTTGTTACTTAAAATAAATCGTGCGCTCACCTACATGTAAATCGCGGAACGATACTTCAATCGTCGAGAGCTTTACTTTTCCCCCTTTTCCGTGCGGTGTGCCCAATGTACACACATGGGCTCAAGCGATGAATCACACGGCGACCGGTATAAATACAGAAACGCCCGACTGGAATATTTTGCTCTTCCGATATGCGCTTTACTCTTTTGCATCCGTGCGAAGCGCAACGTGTGATACCCGTTAATGGGGCCGGCGCGTGAACTTTTGTCTCTCGATCCTCGCGCGTATACGTAAGTATACATGGACGGCAGCAAACGGTTCCACACCGGTCCATATAAACGCACTCGAGATTTATTTATCGTGTATCGTGCCATGCGGCGTTTTCCTCTCCTCTCTCGCTTGTAATACGCGCACACGTCAGAGCAGATAGGAGGGACTTTTTGCCTCGAGTGGAGGCGAGTTTTTTTGTCCTCCTCCTCTTTATCTTCTCGTTATTTATACTTACTTACTGCACTTGTATCTCTACGGTACACACTGATAAAAGTTACGCTGAGACAGAGCTTTCGAGCACAGGTTTTAGTCAGTCAAGGTTGAAACGACTCGTAAGCTGCGATGGAGTTTTTGTGCACAGAGTCTGAGATAATTTTCCAAGTACCTACAATGTCGGGCTTCGATTGTTTTGTCGGTGAATCACTTTTTGTTCCTCGACTCTCGTTGGGGCTTTTCTGTACATGCTGTATACACAACCTCTTGGAGTACGAGAAACTTAACGATAGGTATCAATTGTGGATGACAAAAAAAAAAAAAAAAAAGACATTAAGAAGCAGGCAAATTTTATCAAAGTTTTGAAAGCAAAATTCTTGTGCTCCGAGTAAAGCGTATTTTTCTCGCTTGATCTATTCATTCCGCGTTAACATTGTTTACATAGAGAATATAAAAGCAGGTGCATTTGAATTTTTATCATTTTTTTTATTTATTTATAGCCCGCAATCTCTCGGTCGCCAGACGACGCGTCGACGACACACGATTGCACATAAATTAAGAACCAGCTGTCTCGTGGAGATTTAAATAATCGTATAAAAAAAGCCATACTCCACAGAAAGCGAGAAGCAAATTGCAACAACAGAGTCGTAAAGTTTTCCGAAACTCATATTTATACACACCTTGAAAAAAAAAAACAGGAAAACGTGTCTATCCATGCCGTCTTCCCAGCTCCTACACCAGGTATACCTTGCACCAACAACCCTTGCTTCCTCCCAAAGGGGAATGAGAGTAATAAGTCGATAAGTGCGCGCGCACTCTCGGGTGCTGTATGTGTCCTAGCTGACGTTTCCCAGCAGCAGGTGACAGCCAGCCAGTCGTTCCTGGATAGGGATAGGCGAACGAGATATCATTGACACGTAGACTTTTGCCGTATACAGTATTAAGTATCTGTGCACGATATCGTATATACAATTACGATACAAGCGTAGTAATACAAGGAGTGCTTGGCCACGACGTTTCATGTAAGTGAGAAGGAGACCAAATAAAGAGTGATGTTTTTTTTTTTTTTTTTTTTTTTACACAGTGGCACAAGCAATTCGTTAAAATCCAAAAGGACGTATCCATCCGATAAGAGTGACAAATCACAAGGATTGATGATAAAAAAATTAATAAAAAAAAAAAAAAAAAGAAAGGAAAACAGGGCTTTGTTCCCGGGAATAAACAATTGTACATATTTACACAGCGAAGAGCGTCGAGATTTCGCACTGTAAAATCCAAAGACCAGAGAGCAACAGCCTCGTCGTTCTTATCTACAAGTGCATGCATATACACCAATTGACGCGTGTGGTCGTCTTGTTGTTTTCCATACACGCGATATCCGCGAACGGCGCGCAAACTACCCTTCCACCCCACCCCCAGCAATTACAAATCCTTGATTTCTAAACAGCTACCGGTGTAGAAATACATATAGACGAGCTTGCGGACAACGACATATAGGTGGGGGGGGGGGCACAAGGTTAGTACACACGGACCCTCGTTAGCGCAGTAGGTTATCCGTATAACAACTCAATATAAGGGGGATGAAGCACTATACTCTACATAGGAAACGCACTTGCGTGTCTGACGGTAATCAACTTGTTCTACTTGATCTTTTTTTTTTGTCCGTCAAATTAATTGGATGAAAATTCGTCAAAGGGTGAAAGTTGACGCGTGCAATTATAATCACGAGTTTGTTTAATTTACCGTGTACTGTCGTGCGCGCTAATGGAGAGAAAAATCTGCGATGTCACCTAATGGAGTTTCACTTTGTTTTTTCGCTCCCAACTTTCAACTTCAATTGACTGGGAACTCTTTTTTTTATAATTATTGTTTCATTGTTGATGTTTTTATACAAAAAGCTCCCACTAACGTCCCGTTGTCATCACACCTCTTTTTTTTTTTTTTTTTTTTTTTTTGGGATTGAACATCATCAACAGGTCACAGAGCCTGGACAAGCATGCCGATCGCGCGCTCTCTGCTCTGCAATCGTCCGACAACAAGCAACCGGACAACGACGGCGCGGACCATCAGCCACAGCAGCAGCAAGAGTCGAACGACAGCGTGGCGACGAAGAAACAAGCACCGGCCGAGGTCAGTAACGGCGCCCAAGACGAGGATGAGCTGGTCAGGAGTATGGTCCTCGAGGCGCCCAAGACGCCAGGCCCACGACCGCCCATGGAGTTGTCACGTGAAATGAAGGCCGCCCTCAAAGTCCTCGACGACAACCTCAGGTATGTCATCTCGGACACATTATGTATGTACAGCACACAGTGGTATATGCAAAAACAATCTCCATTGTGAAATTACAGAAAAGTGAGTAACGGCAGTACTCTGGCTAGTCGAGTGAAGAACGCGAGCAACATTGTCCAGCACGAGTGGTTCAAGGTGTCGTCGACCGCCCTCGCGGATCCTCACAGCGTCGAGTTCTACCTCGATCAGTTCGAGCAGCACTCGGGCGACCTTTTGCACCACGTGGTCAATTTGATGGACTCGAGCGGCAACACGGCCATGCACTACGCTGTGTCGCACGCCAACTTTGACGTTGTGTCGATACTACTCGACTCGAAGGTCTGCGACGTCAACAAGTCGAACAACGCCGGGTACACGCCGGTCATGCTCGCCGCGCTGGCTCAGGTGCGCAACTCCACCAACGCCTCGGTCATCAAGAGGCTCTTCCAGATGGCGGACGTCAACGTACGCGCGAGACTGGTGAGTTTTTTTTTTTTTTTTTTGCCGATTTCAGAGCTTACTTTTTTCGCGACCCCCTTTTTCTTTAACGGCTCTCCTTGCTGCGTCGTCAAGCTATAATATAAGCTCGAATGGTAAATTTCATCCCTTTTCCACGGATTCCTCGAGAGAAACCACACAACTACCAGACAAAACGTGCCTGTTTTAGAAAGTCGCAGTCACCAGGGCAGCTTATCTGCCCATCGTGATCTCTTGCACGAAGTGTAACACGTATGTGTATATCCGTAATTCAACCACTTGTAACGTCGTGACACGTCGATGACATTCTTCGTGCGAGTGTACACACTTTTATCCATCCATACATTACACCTGCGGTGTGACTGACATTTGATTCTCCACCACTGAAATTACACTCCCAAGTATTCAGAGCACGTACAGGTCTATGGTTGTTTATTTTCATGTAGCTATACGTATACGTAAAGTGAACACGTCGTTACGTCGGCGGGGAATATTAAAACGCCATGTGTGTACCTACATAAACACAATAATAATAATAATAATAA